CAATCTGGAAACAAATGCCTAATAGCTTGCCAGCATGGAACACAAAGGCAATTTGTTTCTGCCTTGTATAACCCATTAAAGCATTGGCTACATAAACCATGCCATTAGCCAGCTTTTTCCTACTGGAAAAATGGCATGTGTTTGGGTGTGTGTATTTTCATTTTCATGTAAAGACAAGGGCAGCAACCCACCCAACCCCTTTGCGGTGTGATGCACCTTTTTGTGTATTAGACGACAACCAGCACTTGGGGTCAGCAGCACACTCTGGCAACTAGCTCAGCTGGTGCAGAATCAAATTTTATGCTCTGACCGCAGTTCCCCCTCAAGCAAGCAGAAGGCTGCATTCAACAGTAGCTGAAGCTTCCAGATCATCTCTGTCGGCAACCCCATGCAGAAGACATTACAATAGTCTAGTCTGGATGTAATTGTATCATGAAGGCCTGGGGCGAGATCTGCTTTCCCCAGATGGGGCACAGCTGGTGAATCAGACAAAACAAATTTCAAAAATGCTCCTGGTCACCAATGTCACCTGCACCTTAGGCTGATAGTGCTGAGACCAGGAGAAGGTAAAGGTAAAGGACTCCTGGATGGCTAAGTCCAGTCAAAGGTGACTATGGGGTGCGGTGCTCATCTCACTTCAGGCGTTTGTCCGCAGACAGCTTTCCGGGCCACGTGGCCAGCATGACTAAACTGCTTCTGGCACAATGGAACACTGTGACAGAAACCAGAGCACACGGAAACGCCATTTACCTTCCCGCCTAGCTTTCAAACTGCTAGGTTGCCAGGAGCTGGAACAGAGCAACGAGGGCTCACCCCCATTCGTGCGGATTTGAACCACTGGCCTTCTAATCGGAAAGCCCAAGAGGCTTGGTGGATTAGACCACAGCGCCACCCACATCCTAAGACCAGGAGAAACCCCAGGCAGCACAACAAATCCTCCCAGAGAAGTGCAATACCATCTAGTACCAGTTTTACCTCTCCACCAGCTGTTTTCCTCATCCACAGTACCTCCATCTTATCAAAAACTACCTGTAGCCTCTCTGGGAATAGTAGTTGAGGGAGAGAGGTGTTTGAGATGTTTGGATGTTAGCTCAACCCTCTGGAATAATTCTTCCAATGGCTTTATATAGATATTAAAGAGCATGGGGAGACAAAATGGAACCAGGAGGCATCTCACATAAAGGCCATGGGTGGAACAGAAACTCCCCAGCACTACCTTCTGGGTTCATCCCTCCAGGAGGGACCAGAGCCATCATAACACTGTACCATTCCAGCCAGGCAACCCAGAAAGATACGCCAGCCAATGATACCAAAGGGACCAAGAGTCCAGGAGAACAAGGTTGCACTGCCTGCTTTTCCAATCAGTGCATGGCAAGGCTTCACTGATGGAATGAGCAGACTCTTCCGAAACTGCTTTCAGCAAGGAGACTTTGTGAAATACACTAGTCTGTGGAGGTAACGCTCCGCTTTGTGAAGGCAAACCTCGCACCAGACATGCAACAGTGTGTCAAGGAGCATTACACTTGCTTTCCCTCACCTTTTGCCTTCTTGGCTAGAAAACAGGGTTTTCCCCCTGACCTTTTGTCCTTTCACAAATTGTTTGCTAGACATAACGCTTGGCTGGAGCAGGGCAGGGAATGCAGATGTAATCAAGTATTGGGGGGGGGGGGACATTCAAGGGAAGTACCTGCTGACACGTGTATTTGCTAACGCTGGAAATGTGCTTAGATGGAAATATGCTAAAGTTCAGAGTGGTTTCACTACTGCTTTCCAGCTGTTGATTTTTGCCAATAGAAGAGGCTCTGCAAAGCTAGCCGATCAGCTTGCTCCTGCACAGCTCACTCGCATCCAACCTTGTGTAGTCTCTCTACACTAGTCTCTCTCACTTTCTCCCCATCTGCACAACTGCAGCTGTATGAGTTAGATGTTCTTGCTTCGAAAGATCCAAGCCAGCAGTGTCACCAAAAGGAATACAATAACCTCAGCAGGTTAATGTATGAATCCTAATCGATGAGTTCATAGGACATCAGCAACACTTTTTAAAAAAAGTATTTTGTTGATTTTCAGTTATGAATGAATTCGATATAAAAAGGAGAAAATAAATGATATCAGCAATAACAACAACAGGTTGGAGTACAGAGCCCATGATGCCACTGCTCAGGTGGCTCCACAACTCTGCCCCACCACGTGCCCCAAAGGCAATAGCTACCATCTCACCTGTTGGAGGCACTATGCCCCTGTACACCTGTTGCTGGGAACCAGGAATGGGGAGAGTGCTATTATACTCAAGTCCTCCTTCTGGGTTCCCACTAGTTGGCCGCTGTCAGAACAGGATGATGGACTAGATGGTCCTTTGACCCAGCAGGGGTCTTGTTATGTTCTCAAGCACAGCTGTCCTGGTTTCTCACCACTTCTAGTATCAATAAGATAGGGTTTAATTGATTTCTCTTAATTCCCCTGCCCCTGAACAAAGACGTTTTGTCTGAATTTCAGATTTATTTACAGGATAGCAAAGATAGGAAAACAAGCAAACAAAACAAATGCAGAACAGCAAATACCGTATTTTTCGCTCTATAACACGCAGATTTTTTCTCCTAAAAAGGAAGGGGAAATGTCTGTGCGTGTTATGCAGCGAATGTGTGGTCCCTGGAGCCGAAAAATGAGGCAAAAATCAAACCGCGCTTCAGGGAGAAGGGAGCTCCGTGAGAGAGGAAGCTGTTGCTTTCCTGCATTCTGCCTCAGGGTCTTACTGCCCACCCTGCTCTGTTTCGTTGCTGTGTTTGCTCAAACGGAACAAAGAGCAGGGAAAGCCCCTCCCCTCCAGGCAAGAAGAGAGGAGAGCAGAGCGTCTTTCTAATTCCTCTCCCTGCTCCGGAGGGAACAATGTTTGTGAAGGGAAGAGAGATTACAGGTTCGGCTTAAAATTCTGATTTGACTTCCTGCTTTTTGTTTTTGGAGACACACAGCATTCAAATATGCTTTCTTCCATTTAAAAGGATGAAATCCTTAAACAGTGTTTTGCCTGTAAATTCATGCGATCTGGAAGATTACAGTGTCTGTACCTCTTAAGGGATGGCAAAGCTTAGGTTTCGCTGCTAAATAGTTCTTAATGCAGTTAAAATGCTTTCTTCTGTCATGCTGGTGGGAGGGAGAGGGAGAGGGAGAGGGAGAGAGAGAGAGAGAGAGAGAGAGCGCGCGCTGGCTGGCTTGTGTGGGTGGGTGGGGGGAAACTTTTGCCTTCCTTTCCTCACGTTATAGCCCTCTCCTGCATTCTTAGCCTTCTGTGTTTTTCCTTCCCTCCCCACTTAAAATGTGGTTACAAAGCATGGATCCACATGGATCCTCAGGATCTTTGCATTGGGTCACCCCAAATTCACCATTAGAGCACACAGCATGTCCATGGCTACAGCCTGCCCCCCCAAAATCACACACCCATTGTTGCCTGGGGCTGCAATGGTGCAAAAACGTGGTTACAAAGCATGGATCCACATGGATCCTCAGGATCTTTGCATTGGGTCAGCCAAAATTCACCATCAGAGCACATAGCATGTCCATGGCTACAGCCTGTCCCCCCCCAAAAAAATCACGCACCCACTGTTGCCTGGGGCTGCAATGGTGCAAAAACGTGGTTAAAAAGTATGGGTCCACATGGATCCTCAGGATCTTTGCATTGGGTCAGCCAAAATTCACCATCAGAGCACATAGCATGTCCATGGCTACAGCCTGCCCCCCCCAAAAAATCACGCACCCACTGTTGCCTGGGGCTGCAATGGTGCAAAAACGTGGTTACAAAGCATGGATCCACAGGGATTCTCAGGATTTTTGCATTGGGTCACCCCAAATTCACCATCAGATCACATGTCTGTGGCCACAGCATGAAGCACAAAAATGATACGTCCACTGTTTCATTCAGAATATTTTTTCCCTTGTTTTCCTCCTCTAAAAACGATGTGCGTGTTATGGTCAGGTGCGTGTTATAGAGCGAAAAATACGGTAGATGTTTTACAGCATCATCTACAGGCAGAAGTTGTGAAAAGCAAGCAACTTGCGTGTTTCATATTCAACAAAACAGCTTTCCAGGGAATTGTTTGAGTAAAAAATCCATTGCTGCTGCCACTGTCCCTCAGGTTTGTGAAGATAAGATTCTCCTATTTTATTTGTAGCAGGTGATATCTAATGTTAGTAACAGAGCTGGTCCATTGGTTTCAATGGGTCTACTCTGGGCATGACTTTGTTGGGTGTCACCCAATGTCCTAAGTTCATGGAGGAAAGGTGTCATTCTAATGTGGTTAGCTTGTTCTTTACTTAATTCTGTTCTAGAAGAGTATTAAATAAGCGTTGTAAATAAGGGCGCACAGGTTTGTTTCCTTCAACAATACATGAGATATCTTCCTCCCATTAGCACTTGGATTTTCTTCTTCATATTTGACTTATGCTTTTGTAGGACAGAGAATTAGAGGCGGGATCAGATGTTACAACAGCTCCAGGATCTGGAGCGCGGACCGGTAAACTAGAAATGACATCCAAAAAGCAAGTTCTTTGGGGAATCGCTCATCTCCTCGGCCCCTTCTTCTGCTGCGACCCGCGAAAGGCGGCGAGGTAACGGCAAACACTCCTTCCATTTAGCTGCGTTACAAGCCTAGACAAAATCTCGCCCGATTTAGCACGGTCGCCTATGGCAAGGCGGGCTTAGGCAAATAGTAAAACGAGGACTTTCTGATTCCTTTTTCGGGATGACGACGCTCTTCCCCTTGGCATCGCAGCGTCTTCTTACCTTCTATCTTTTCCCCTCTGCTCACTGCCGTCTGTTACTATGTAAAATTCCAGCTTGGCTGGAAACCTCTAGCTTCGTAGGAACCTTCCCCCCTCACCGCATTGAGCGAAACGCACTGGGCGGGTTATGGGAAATCAAATGACGTGTTTCGAATAGAACCGGGATCGCGCCCTGTAATCCAATAGGAACCTGCGATGCCCCAGTAACTCCCGCCCCTCTTCGACTTCCCGCTGCTTTCTGGGCGTTCTTGCCGCGAAATTTGAAACGGGGAGAAAAGGGCGCCGGCGGCTTCTTTCCCGCTCCTTGGGGTATCCACGTCCGGGGTATCCCTTTGACGTGAAAGGCACGGTCTCTCCTACACCCCCCTTGCCCGCGCGCGTTGGGTGGGCTGGGAAGCTCGGGTAAGTACCGGTAAGTCCCTGCTGCTACAAGCGAGGCTTGGAGTCGCACCCCTCCCCCAACCCACTTTCTGGCCAAATCCCAGGAATCTGCTTGGATTGGGCTCAGGGCCGGATTTAGGTTTGATGAGGCCCTAAGAGCTACTGGGGCCCTTGATAAGTCCAGCTGTCCTTTGTCAACAACAAATTGTCGCTGTTTTTTGTGTTGAATATATGCTATATGGTAATTGATGGACCTAATAGGTATCTGAAGCCATTTGCACATGCAGAATGTAGGCACCCTTCTATATATAGAAACGAACAAAGCAGTGATATTTTATGGAGCAGGCTAGCAGGCGGGGCCCATTACTTATATCATAGGAGCCTACACAACACAAAACACTGTTGCTGTATGTAGGTTTTATTTTATTTGTTTTTTATCTTATATTTCGGAAATGTACATCCAGTTGTTTTTTTCCTTTAATTTTTTGGGGGGGCCACTACCAAGAAGGCCCTCTGCCTGATTCCCTGTAACCTCATTTCTCGCAGTGCAGGAACCGCCAGAAGGCCCTCGGAGCAGGACCACTGGCAGAGGAAGAGGCGGGGAGCACACTGCCCCCCCGCAACACGATCCCAGTGGGATGCCATTGCGTCAGCCCCCCCCCCCATGCTGGGCGCCACGCTCCCGCATGCAGCGCATCACATCCCCAGGATGCGCGACACACCCCTGTGGGTGGCGCACCACGCCCTCGGTGCACACGCCAGCCATGCCCCCACCTGCTCTCCACCCCCTCCCCTCAGTGCCGGAGCATGAAGCTCCACCACTGAGCCAGACCTCAGCGTCCAGGCTGAACGATGGGGGTGGAGACGCTCCTTCAGGTATACTGGGCCGAGGCCGATTAGGGGTTTAAAGGTCAGCACCAACACTTTGAATTGTGCTCGGAAACGTACTGGGAACCAATGTAGGACTTTCAGAGCTGGTGTTATATGGTCTCGGCGGCCACTTGCAGTCACCAGTCTAGCTGCCGCATTCTGGATTAGTTGTAGTTTCCGGGTCACGCTGCAAGTTTGTATTATATGGTAAACATCTGAGTAGTATGACCCAAACAGTTCTTTTTTTGTTGCTGCTGTTGCAGCTGTTGTTGTTCATTGTTATGGTGCATGTATCATCCATTTATTTTAAAAAAATTAAATAAAGTGTTAAAAAGAACAAATAACTGCCAATTCACTGATCTCTGAATCTGACAACTTCCCCCTTAGCTGTATCTGCTTGAGTAAACATGGAGTCTCATATCAGGAAGAGTTCCGTTAAAAGAAAGAGTGATATCCGGCCTTTTCTGAAGGTAAGCCTTATTCTGAAGAGGGATTACCTTACCTCAATCTTCCAAAGAACATAAGGGGTAGTTACTGAATATTTTTATTTGCTGTCTGTAGTAGTTATTGCTGGTTAAATACTGCCACTGTCTACTTCTGTTTAATAGCCTTTGTGTGCACAATTGAAATATCACCTCGCTTCCATCCAGCCCTTTTATGTTGGGTCCAGGGATTAAAGCAAAGCTACACTGTTGCACTGAGGAACAAAACCACACAGGGCCTGTTAGATGCTTACTATAAACTGGGGTATTAATATCCCAAGATTGCTCTCTTTTTGCCCTGCCCTTTTCATCCTACCCTTCCTTGTGTCCATTTGAGTGATTGCCATTTGAGTGATTGCCAGTGGCTGCTGGACTAGTAAGCAAATGTCAGCACCCACCCTATGCATTTCACCTGCATGACTCACTAACTAGCATAACAGTACTAACCAGGGCGGATCAGAACCTGCTTCTTTTACTTTTGAAGGTGGAGCAGGGCAGGGGAACATTGTTCAGCTGAAAGGCTACATGGTGGTGGTAGGCAGGTCTGGAGCCCCAAAGTAGGCAGAACATCAAATGTAAGTTTAACCTTTGCATAGCTGGCTAGTTCCTCCACAAACTCACACACCCCTCTATCCTCCATTGAGGCAAGCAAGAAACGTCAGTAATCAAGGGTGCAGATCAATCTAACCTGGATTGGAATAACATTTGTAATGTCCCCTGCTCTGGCACTGCTGAGGGTAGAGATAATCTCCACTCAGAGACTATCAAATGAAGATCTGTTAGCCTTTTTATTGACTGCTGCATGAATGGAAATTGCTAAGTGCTGGAAACTGAGGAAGGTTCTAGTATTGAATCTTGGTACTCCAGAGTTTGGTCAGTTGCATTAGCCAAAATACTGACTAATAATAATGATAGTAATAATTTATTTATTGGACTCTGACTGGGTTGCCCCAGCCACTCTGAGTGGCTTCCAACAGAATATAAACGAACACAACCAAACACTAAAAACTTCCCTAAACAGGGCTGCCTTCAGATGTCTTCTAAAAGTCAGATAGTTGTTTATTTCTTTGACATCTGATGGGAGGGCATTCCACAGGGCGGGCGCCACCACCAAAAAGGCCCTCTGCCTGGTTCCCTGTAACTTCACTTCTCGCAGTGAGGGAACTGCCAGAAGGCCCTCAGAGCTGGACCTCATTCCAGCCAGGCAAAAATACTAAAAGAAGATTTCAAAGCAGGCCTGGTGAGGGGATGTAGCCTGGTAAGGGCCAAACAGAAGGGCTTGGGGGGGCCTCATTTGATCCTTAGGCCTAAGATTCCCTATCCCTAAACTAGAGCTTAGCCATAGGTTTCCCTCCTACTGTGTGCAAGCAGAGAGGGGAAAATCCTTGTCTGACGAGTCTTGTTACCACAGAGAAACTAAAAAAAAAAGCAGTGAAAGCTTCTGTTGGACAGCACTGATGATGAAATGAACATTGAAAGCAACACAGAGGAATCGGGTTGTCAAACTATTTCAGACCCCCCCCCCCAAGTGTCCCTATTTTCCAGGGATAGTCCTGGATTTACAGAAGCTGTCCCAGTTTCTGATTTGTTCCTGGAATGTCCCACTTTTCCTTAGGATGTCTCTATTTTCATCAGAGAAATGCTGGAGGGTATGGAGTTATGTGACCCCCTGAGCCAAGGAGATAAGAAACTATACAACCTTTAGAAGGCAGCCCTTTATAGGGAAGTTTTTAAAATGTTTAATGTTTTAATGTGTGTGGTAAGCTCCAGATGTTGTTTTTTTTGTTGTTGTTGTTGTTAAATAGGTTGTCCCTATTTTCATCAAAGAAATGTTGGAGGGTATGCTATTTGTTTTCACAGTACCCCCTTTGTCTTTCAAAGCTGCATCACAATAGAGTAATAAGAATAGCTTTCCTCACCACAATCCTGTGCTGATATGTTTACGCCACTTGCATTGTTTGTCTAGACGTTTTCAAAGACATGAGAGCCTTGCTCTATGGCAACCCCATACACGACCCCTTTCTGTTGGTCACGTCTGGAAAGCTTGCTGGCGTGGACCAGGAATGTAGTAACATTTGTTGCCTCTGGGCCAGATGAACTGTAGCATAACTGGCTGTGGACACAAAGGAAACATGGTGCTACTCATGAGTAGCAGCAAATGCAACAGAGTTACTGTGACTCATTAGGAATCAAGTCAGAGAAGGTGCCATGCCACAATATTTGTTGTTTCCGTATTCTGCCAGGAGCATGTCTGGCAGTAGTGCTGTGCCTATATTCTTCAGGCCTCAGCCTAGCTCACCACTTTTCTCTTTGTGTGTGTTCACTGGTATTCCTGCTATGGTCTACATCAGGCATAGGCAAACTCGGCCCTCTAGATGTTTTGGGACTACAATTCCCATCATCCCTGACCACTGGTCCTGTTAGCTAGGGATGATGGGAGTTGTAGTCCCAAAACAGCTGGAGGGCCAAGTTTGCCTATGCCTGGTCTACATGTAAGCAGCTACCATCTGCAAGCATGTTGTTTTTTAAAAAAGAAAACCACAAAGAAAATATATTATTTGTTGACTTCCCCCTTTTTTTACAGCGCGAAAATGAGGCAAGCCCAAGTGTCAAAAGAGTGGGATCTACGAGTGCACCCACTCTTAAGACAGAAACTGGGAATCATCCTACAAGAAATACTCTTCCTAGCAGTGAGAAATCAACAGATGAAGAACGAGAATTCACTGTGAATTTAACTGGTGATGGGAAGGATCACATGGTGAAAGGCAGTCTCCACGACAGTGTGCTTTCTGCCCTCAAGGCAACAAAAGATATTTGCACTCACATGGAGAAAAGCAAGGGCAAAGAGATCTACCTTATAGGGAAGAAGGGGATTGAGGGTTGCATTAATCTGGGAATGCCTCTGAAGTATATGCCGGATGGCTCCCATTGTGTAATGAAATGTTATAAGGTTCAGCAACTTGAGGACTCTGCTGGCTTAGGGTATCGCCAGCATGAGAACAGGGAGGAGGAATGTATTTTGTTCTTCATTGACCCCAAGCCGACACAAAACAGTAAGTTGATTAGATGCAGTCAGCTTCTTAAGGAATACTGCAAGCTGTGTGTCTGTGCACCAAAAGGAGAAACCATAAAAGATGCCCTGTGCAGTGATGGTCGTTTCACGCCTGAGCTAAAGGAAAAAGACTGGAGACTGATGGAGGGTAGCAAGGCCATAGCTAACACTCATTCAGTTAACAATTTATCTGACAAGACCTTTTATGTGGAAATGACGAAATCTGCTAAATCTGGTGGCGGTGCAAAGAGCCATCAGGTTCCCCAGGTGCCTCATGGGAGGCAGCTCCAAACCTGTCATTATTTTAAAATTGATCTCCTAAGCTTCTATCCTGGCTTAAAGGATCAAAAGGAGATCATGGATAACTTCTTTGCAAAAACCAAGGACGCACAGGAGCATAAAAAGGAGGTCCTCAAAGTGTGCAGAGCAAACTATAGCAAGGAGATAAGCAATGCCATAACGGTTAAGATGTTAAAGAAGCAGGCAACTCTCAGTCAGTCAGTTGGGTACATAAAGTGGGGCATTTCCAGAAAGGAGGGTGAAGCTACTTGCTTTGTGTTGTGTAATAGCTACATACTAACTTGCCACCATGTGGTAAGATCGATCGTTGGAGAAGGGATTGAAGAAAAGGAGTGGGCATCCAAAATCAGCAAGGCAGCCCATGTAACATTCTCCTATGAAGGTGACCACCCCAAAGATGAAGACTTTTTTTCACTTGAGGAGTGGTTTGAAATATATGATGTTGTTCTTGATTTTGCCATCCTGAAACTGAAGGAAAATGGAAACAAAAGTAGGCTTCCTCCAGGCTTGGTAAAGTTATGCTCCCCTCCACCATTTGATGGGCTTACTTACATCATTGGTCACCCAGGTGGAGAAACAAAGTCTCTGGATGCCTGTTCTGTTGTCACTGTGTGTAAGCGTCAGAAGGAATCTCTTGATCGTTGGCAGCAGGGTAATGAGGCAGAACACAGCAACACCAACTGTGGTTATGATCCCAAGAGCTGCATCCATATGCTCAATCCAGGAGTTTTCTTTCCTGTTTTCAACAACCCTGATGTACTCACCTATGATACATCTTTTTTCTGGGGGTCTTCAGGTTCACCTGTGTTTGATAGAGATGGCCAACTTGTTGCAATGCATGCTGCTGGCTACGTTTATGGAAACAACTCCAAGCAGCGCAGCATAATTGAATTTGGCTATTTGATGACGTCAATCCTCTCAGTAATTGAAAAGAAGGATAAATCTTGGTATGACTCTGAAATTGGTCCTTTCAGACAGGCTTCTTATGCTACAGAAGAGGCTACCGTGTGTGTTGAGCCTATGGATGTGGATTAAAAGATCTATGTTCTATGATGATCCTTCAGTCTGAAATTTGGAAGATATATAGGGCCTATTAATTGATTAAATTGCATTTTGCATTTTTAAAGATAGTTACGCTTCATTACATACAACGCTTTTAAAAACATGTATCATATATCATTTCAAAGCAGTGCCACCCACCCTAACTTGGACATCCAATTCAGAAGGATAACATGGTTGATGGTATTGAAAGCCTCTGAGAGATAAAAGAGGAAGAACAGAAAGTCAGTTTCTTCCAAGAGCACCTGGATCTGGTCCACAACCTAATGAAGAACCTTGCCTAAGAAGGGGAGATTGGCAACTTGCTGATAATTACTTAGATTTTCTGAATTCAGGGAGGGTTTTTTAAGGAATGGCCTTGCCACTTCAAGAAGGCATTAATCACCTCCCTGACCCAGCCAGCTTTCTCTTCCCTGCTAGCTTTTATCAGCCAAGAGAGGCAAGGGTCTAGAGGGCAAGTGGCCACCCTGACAGATCCATGCACCTTGTACGCATCCTCAAGCCTTACGAACTGAAACTCATCCAACATAACAGGACTAGACATTGCTCTGGACACCCCTTGAGATTCATCTGCTGTAACAGTGGAGTCAAGGTTCCAGCAGATTCAAGTGATTTTTATCCTCAAAATACTTCACAAACAAATCGCAGCGAGCTAGTGTCAGTTCTGCCAGCTCCTCCGTGCTAGACTGTAAAAGGCCCCATACTACCTGGAAAAGCTTTGTCAGACGGCATGATGAAGATTCAATGGAGTCAGCAAAGTATCAGCCAGCTAAATGTTGAGCCTTCACCAGTGTTCAATTGCATTCAAGCTGTCTTCCCATTTGTTTCAGTGCTCTAAGCTCTGGAGAATACTAGGGAGTCAAGTGGACTCCACAAATTAATATATTTGATGTAGTAGCTATTATCTGACTGGCTTTCAACCATGCCTATATCCCACAGTTACCAGGGTTGTTGATAAGTTAAGGGCACAAAGAGTATGAGTGAGATTAAAGGGTTGTGTGGATTTAGGAAAATCATTGTAGTAGAATTTGTGTTGTGTTAATAAAATAAGTAAGGAAATAACCCATTTTCCTTGCCACAAAGTGTGTTGACAAAAGAAGTGAAATGAACTGAAAAAAGGGGTGAATACCAGGCTACTACATGATTGCTTAGCCATGTATATTGGCTACACACTCATTAAAACCTCCCCTCACACTCTGCTTATATATCTCTTATCCAAAGGAAATAAAAATGCCATTGAATTTCTTAACACTTGGGGAATTGGAATGTGCTGTTAATTATTTTATAATTTCTATATAGTGTTTAGAGTGCATGCATAATTAATTTGCATATATTATGTCATAGTTTCACTTATGATTTACTGGGGTTCTTTCTGTCCTTTGCTTCAATCAATAAGACTCTGAATTCCTTGAACCAGTGTGTTCTCAATCAAGTTCAGTTGCTTTGCAGCCGCAGGGCCTGCAAGACAGAGCTGTTCCACCAGGCCTTTGGTCAGGGCGCAGCCTGACTCCCTCCTTTGGCAATCTTTACAATACTTTAGTTTATGGTTGCCATCAATTTTGATTTTAATTAATTCTTATGATGTTTTTATAATGTTGCACTATTTTAGTGTTGTTAGCCGCCCTGAGCCCGGCTTTGGCTGGGGAGGGCGGGATATAAATAAAATTTATTATTATTATTATTATTATTATTATTATTATTATTATTATCGGTAATAGGAACTAAAACAAGAAAACTTATTGAAGATGTACAATATGAGCAGCACAGGTGCTATTAGCCCAGAGATGAAAAGAAGATAAAAGTCCCTACCAGAGAAGAATGGCAAATCAAATTGTTGGACTATGTCGAAATAGCAAAATTGACCCAAAAGCTCAGGAACCAAGAAGAACTAAACTTTGACAAGGAATGGGAAAAGTTTATAATTTATCTTGGAGACCACTGTAAACAGATGTAAACATTAGCAGGATTGCATAGCACTTGTAATGTCTTGGGTATTATGGAGAGAATGACATTTTATTTTGGTTTTTTTTTTAAATGGAGTATAAAAAAGAGGCAGTAGAAAAAATTTAATAACAGAACCCAGAAATTCGATATGTTATTTCTATAATTTTATACTTGTAAAATCAAATAAAAATATGTTTAAAAAAGAAGACATACAATATGTACCCTATGCTGTGTTCCATCTTCCTCTGGAACTGACTTTGATGTAACTAATGGTGCAGACATGGGTCTCTAGTCCAGGAAGAGTCACTGGATGCAGGACAAGTGCAGAGAAATCCGGCACAAATAGGTGTTTAAAAAATGCCACTATATCCACCACACAAGCAGCACAAACAATTGGCAGTGACTGATACCCTCCATTAATTTGTCTAATCCCATTTTGAAGTAGGTGGCCATTCCTATAACTTGTGATAATGAATTCCACTGTGTGAGGAAGTATTTCCATTAGTCTGCCCTGGATCTTCCAACATTATGTTTGTATGGTTCTCACATTACTGTGGCAGGGCTGGCGTTTATGCTACCCCATCTCTCAGGGGAAAGTCTCTCTGCGACTCGGGATGGAGAGTTATTTACATGCTTAGCAAAACTGCGGTTCACAATAAACCAGTTCCATGGGATCCTGGCATGTGAGAAACGGGCGACTTTGCATTTAAAAAAATGTTATGTGTGAAGTTGCATGTTGAAAGTGCCACAGTGCTTTCTGAAGTCACCCAGTGTGTGCACCTGGCTTTATTCTAGAAATCAAGCTCCCGAGACTAGCCATCAGCAGTCATGGCATGAAACACGTAACGTCCATTAACAGTAAATCCCAGAGTTAAATGGCTGTCTTCTTTCATTAGTAGCTGCCTGAAATGACAAGTTTTTTTTCCTTCAGTGGTTGGCCTCAAGCCTCTCAGGAGCAGAGTGTGTTTTGAATTCATCAATAGCTCACCTGGCAACATCACCACTCACAGAGCCACGCTTAGCGAAAGTAAATCAAAGAGCTTGTTTCCAGGACATTATTTCATTGCAGTGATTTTTACCGTTGGCATGTTGAATTAAAGTCCTGGCTTTGAAGTCCCCAACATGGGGTTCTGCCTGGCCTGTTTGAAGGCTCTCAGCTGTTCACATCAACTCTTCCTTGAAGTGAACCATTGCAGCTTCTTACTGAGACTCCACCTGTGTTTTATTGACATATCCTGAGGATAATAATAGGTGGTGATATTATCTTTGTAGAAAATGTTAAAGGAACTCATTCAGGGTAAAGCTGCCCTTTTATTGTAGCTTTATTCATCTGATTTATTAAATTTGTATACCACCCTTCATCCAAAGATCACAGGGAGGTTCACAACATAAAAATACAAAATGAGAACACAAAATACATAATAAAAACTAAAACCGATAACGCCCCTCCCACAAACACACCTTTTTTTATTTATTAAATTTTAAGCATTTCTTATACTTTAAACCTGCAGGAATTACAGAATTGGGGTTTATCAGTTGCTTATTTACTAGTACATAAGCCTTAGGCCACAGCAAACATCACGATACAATAACATACAACTTTTATGTCGTTAAAAATGTTTCTAGCCGATACACTCAAAACTGGATGGCCATATAAAGCAGAGAGGTAATAAGAGAGAGAAAAAGTAATGCCAAATGATGTGACACATTTCGGGTTCATTACTATTTGGATGAAGGATCAGAGGTCAGCAATCCCTAGTCAATGGGGGAATTTGTGACAATCTGCAGAGATGCACGTATCTATGATGATGAGTTTAGGGATGGAGTAACTAACCTGAATGGCCTATGTTTAGAAAGAAGCATAAGAGATGTCCAAGCATACTACAACTCTAGACTGACCTTTCTTTTAAGTTGACTGGAACAGCTGCCGCGCAGAATCTTGTATGAAACAGCTGTGGTACAGCGGGAAGGCTTTCCCCACCTCGCAGCTAAAAACAAGGGGGAAACTCTTCACAGTATCTCTCAACAGCTTTGATACTCGGGGGCCTTCGGATGCAATGCCAAGAACCATGGAAGCTCTGGTTGCCTTATCTTTCCACCCTGAAAAGGCCTCTTGTACTGTGCCTGCATGCTACGTCAGCTTCAACCAAGGGAAGCTGATCCGTTAGGGCAATGGGGGAGTGTTATAAGAATTTTAAGGTCTCAAATACAGGATAACTATTCATAAATGCACACATATCTGAATATATGAACCATGTGCCTGAAATAGCAATCCTGAAGCCATTTTGACTCACCCAATGACCTCAAATATTCCTCTGCAGAGGGAGGGCAAATGGGGAAAGCCTTCCCATTGTCTTTTTGCTTACAAATCCTGTATTAAGGGCACATTTGTGATTGAATAGGGTGAGCCTGTGATTTGGATTCAGGAACTGAAGTATTAACCATCACAAAAGAATGGCCAGACTGCCCAGGTAATGCAATCAGTGATCATTATCATTATCCTGGCAGGCAGGATTTCTGCTGTAGACCACCACCTTCTGTGATGTATGTATGATATTTTTGGGGGGTGATCTTGAGCTATAGGGTGGACAACTTCAAAAGTCTATATAAGGGTTTGCACACCATTGTTCAGGGTTCTTCTCCCTCCAGTGTGTGGTGAGTAGGGACCCTGTTGCAACAGTTTACTAAAGATCAGGCTTACTAGCTGTTTTGCTTCTCTAACACCATCACCAGCTATCTAAATAGTTTTAACCTGAAGTGCATTTGTTGAAACACCGTTAAAAATTGCATTATATAACACCAGTGTAAACTAAAATTCAGCCTTTCCCATACCTTAAGATTTCAAGGAATTAACAACTGCATCTAACAATCAGAACACCCATCCAGGAGAATTGGTGTGGAGGCCACAGATATACATATGTATGTGAAGAATCAATATGAACCTTGTTCAATATGTCTGGTTGTTAACCAGAAAGTTAGTGGTTCAAGCCTACCCAGGGATGGCCGTGGGCACAATTCCTGCATTGCAGGGGGTTGGACTAGATGACCCTTGGGGTCCCTTCCAACTCTACAATTCTACGAACAACAATAAAAGCAGGATTGCCATTCCTCCCGAAATACGTTTGTGCAATTAGATCCTGTATAGTGTACAGTGGTATCTCAGGTTACGAACTTAATTCATTCCGGAAGTCCATTCTTAACCTGAAGCATTCTTAACTCGAGACGCACATTCCCTACATAGGCCTCATGTGGCCCTGGAAGCAGATTGCGTTCATATCCCAGGGCAAAGTTCGCAACCCAGGACACCTACGTCTGGGTTTGTGGAGTTTGTAACCTGAAGCATTTGTAAACAGAACTGTTGGTAACCCGAGGTACCACTGTACATGAAACTCAGCTGTGGTAATGGCTGATTTTGTGCATTATGTGAAGAGTTGGCTCTGAACTCTTGGGACTGGAGAAGGATTCCTAATAAATAATTATACTGGTTATACTTTCTAGAGACATGCTAGCTTTTAAAACTGTTAAGTGCTTGCAATATGTTATCCAAACATTTTCAGGTAAGATGCTGGATTACGGCTGTAATGGGAAAGCACTTTCCTTCTCTTGTTTTCCCCCTCCTTTCCATGTAGTTTGTGGTTTTGCCTACAACATGAAATTGTCAGATAATGAGTTCCCCTTCCCTCGTGCTCCATATTGACTACTGCTGGTGGGAAGCAGGGAAATATCTATAATAAAGAAACATGTGTTATAAGAATTCTAAGGTCCCAAATACAAAATAAACAAGGCGAACAGATACATAAGTACATAAACCACATGTCTGAAATAGTACAGGAGAGCAGTCTGAAGCCATTTTGACTCCCAAACCATTTTGACTCCCAAATTGACCTCAAATATTTCTCTGCAAGGAGGAAGGAAACAGGAAAGCCTCTCCACTGTCTTTTGCTTACCTGTCTTAAGGGCATATTTGTGTATGAATAGAGCGAGCCTGTGACCTGGTTTCAGGAATTAAAGTATTTACCCTCACAAAAGAATGGCCAGGCTGCTCAGGTAAAGCAATCAGTGACCATTAACAGATATCCTGGCCACATGTATATATTAGATTCAGGCATGCACTGAATTCATACTTAATGATACAGTCATACCTCAGGTTAAAGTTGCTTCAGGTTGAGCATTTCCGGGTTGTGCTCCACGGTGACCTGGAAGTAACAGAACTTGTTACTTTCGGGTTTCGCCACCTGCACATGCGCAGACGCTCAAAATGACGTCACACGCATGTGCAGAAGCGGCGAATCGCAACCCGCAAACAC